CAATCGTGCGCACACGTGTTGCAGTCGGCTCACATTGGCCAGTTGAGTCTCCAGCTGTATGATCTCCTTGGACATCTTCGTGGCGTTGTGAGCTCCCAGCATGCTCAGCAAGCGCTCCATCAGAGCCTTGTACGCTGCCAGGATCTGCAAAAGCAAAAAAGCAACACAACAACAACGTCACAACCCGCACCGGCGCCACCAGCATGACCGGGGGGGGGGCAGAGCGGCATGTGGCACAGTGGCCGGGATAACACAAAAAAAACACAGCAGGCGACGGAGCAAAGCAGGTGGACTGATGAAGAGGAGCGAGCAGGAGAGTCAGCAGGCCATATGGAAGGAGGGAAAAAGGGAGGAATGCACTGAGGGGGAAATGAGGGGAAGAGGGAGGGAGAGAAAACGTGGACGGTTGGTTCCAGGAGATACAGGGGGAAGAAGGTTTGGAGAGAGGAGACAAAGGGAAAATTATCTAGAGAAGGACTCAAGAGGAAGAACTGGAGATGAGATGGTCAGAGAGGCTAAAAATCACAAGTAATGTTGTGGATTCACAAAAAAAAAGTATGGCTCAGTCACCTTCACACTGTCCTCATCCTGTCCCAGATACAGACTCCGCTCCGGCAGTGTGAGCCCCTCCTGGTCTATCTGGAAGTGTACGCACAACCACAAAATCAAAAACTCACATGGTACTCCAATCAGAGCCTGGTTGTGGTTGTATTTCTATTCCTACACCATTAACAAATGCATTTTCAAAGTCTGTTTATTTTGTCAGATTTACAGCTCTGATCATGTCTAAAAGTTACATGCACTGGATTCCTATAATCCTAATTATTATGAATGTTTGATAAATGTTTCACGCACATCTGAGCTTGGCCACAATATCACCCCACTGGATAAAAACATCCATTTTACAATGTGTTGGTTTAACTGTTTATTATTTATTGGGATTAAAGGAAGTGCCTTAGCCTGGTTTAAGTCACATTTTCTGATAGATTCCAGTTGTATATGAGGAATCTTCTTCCCAGACAAGAGTAAATCATGAAGTCCTGGAGTTCCTCAGGCTTCTGTGCTGGGACCGGTTCTTTTCCCTTTATTCCTGCTTCCATTAGGTAACAGGTAAGATTATGAGACAGCATGGCATAAATTATCACTGATGGTACTTATATAAACCTATGTACGAGACCAGGTGAAGAAAATCAGTTGTTAAAACTTCAAACATATCGTCAACACCCTGTCTCTGTTGTCTGTGTACGAATCGGACCAATTTGGAATTTGACTAAATGGAATTAATAAGATTATGATAAATCGTCATGGACTGGGTTTTACCTTTGAAGTGCCTGGACATGGCACCTGTCGTGGTTTGGTGAATCGGAAATTAAATTAACTGGACATCACATGTGGAAGCCGAAGTTTAAAACATCAGGACAGAGCCAAAAATGTAATCTTGAAATGTTCCTTTACCATAAACCAATCTGACAGATATTTATCAGTAATTGCTCCTGGAACATTTGCTGTCTACACTGCTATGTAAACGGCTTTTGCTGGTGCTTGTTGCTCTCCACTTTTATTTAGTATTAAACATAATGAAATATGACTTACTCTATGTCCAAAACTTGAATCGTATGAGAGGAGTAAATCTAATGAGGACGAGTTTGACTTTAAATGCAGAGCTGAAATAAAAAAATCTGAAGGCGTGGAAGCAGTAACCAGTTCCTTTAACTTCCTAATGATATCCCCTTATGAAACAAAAAAAGGTACTTCCTTCTCACCCTGATGGCGTTCCTGGATGAGTTTTTATCGTCCACGTTAACGGTGAGGGAGAAAAAGACGGCGGTGCTGTACACCCCCTGGGTCCTGTAGAGCAGCTCGTTGAAGTCCGGCCTGTGCGACCCCCCCGCGGTCTCCCACCCGGCGGCGCCCTGGGGGGCCCCCTCCAGGTCCCACCCTCCGCAGCTGCCTATCACCTCGGTCATGGGCCCCGACCCCAGCTTGTCGATCTCCTGGATGTTGACGCAGGACCGGTAGAACTCCTTGACCTTGCGCTCGGCCGAGTGGGGCCCTTGCCTCCGGACGGGCTCCAGCAGGAGGCGCTGCAGCTTCTCCTCGTTGTGCTCCCCGATGGCCGTGATGATGCCGTAGCTCAGCTTGTCCTCGGGGATGCCGTGGCGCCGCAGCCAGCCGCCGCAGGCAAACGAGTAGAAGTCCTGGCAGGGCTGGATGGTGGGGTCGATGTTGGCCTGGACGAAGCGGGCCGCCCGCAGGAGGGAGCGCTTGCGCTGGCAGTCCTGCCGGCAGTGGGGGTCCTGCTGGGCGTCCAGGGAAATGTACTTGAGCGCCAGCATGCTCCCCAGGATGACGCACATGCCCGCGGCGAAGACCAGCGCGGATAGTAGACAGATCTCCCTCCGGCTCCACCGGGGAAGGCCCCCGCCGCCGCCGGCGTTGCCTAAGTCTTTGTTTCGGCCGTTTGACCAGGTCCCCCCGCGCGCTCGCCCCACGTGGCGGTCAAGGCTGCCCCCCAGGTGAAGGGTCATGCCATTGCTGAGGATGTCGCTGCTGTAGCGGCCGCCGTACTTGACCTCCTGGAACTCATCGTAGTGGGCAGTTAGGGAATACGTCTTCTCCATCACACCTGTGTTTTAGGCAGAAAGAGGGGCAAACATTGGTTAATTCTATCCTTAGGATGCACTACAAGCGAACTGAGACAAGAGAAAGAGTTCTCCTTACAGAGCAAATACTCAAACTGATATTAAAATCCTTTCGGCCCTCTTCTTTGCTATTTTCAAATTGAAATGTCTCATTCGCTCTCTCTTTGCTCCTGTTCCATTTGGTCCCCTCTCCTCTCTGTCTCCCACCAGTTACAGGTCACCTGTCAATAAAAGGAGAAATTAGACCGAGGAAGAGAAGTTAGAAGTCAAATAAGAGATATCAAATTTGTCTCCCAGCTGGTCCATTAATTAGTGACCGCTCCCTCAGGGAGACTGCATCCCTTGGGCTATTCAAGTCTGTGGACACATCCACACAGACAGCTAGAAAATATTGGGATTCCCCATGCTGAGGACTGAAAGGTGTGAATTTCATCAGTCTGCATTTGTGGAAAACTTGAGATGAAGACAGAGAATGTATGGCTCTGCCTTGCCAAAGTGATAATACACAGGTATGTTCACACATTAAAGAGCGGAGCACTGTCATTTTAAAGGACGTTTTCATGATCTGTCATCAGAAGAACAACCAAGCAGCGTAAAAAAAATAGAATCAATAGTTTAAGGTCATATTTCTTTAAAAACATTGACATTTTTTTAACCAGATTTGTATATTTTGGTTTGTTGGGGGAATATACAATTCAATGCATATCTGGATGCAACTAGTACAACATAACAGAACAGGTATTGGGGTATAGTCTTCTTTAAGGCTTTGCACGTTATAGACTCTTCTTGAATCTTAACTTGACTCGGGTGTCTACAGCAAAACCATCAACAACTGGTTAATGGTGCATTTTATTCAGACACGGGTGTTTGGTAGCAGTGTCTTTACATAAATAAACGGTTTCAGTTTAGTATTGGGGCGATCATTACAAATGCAGTTAAATGTGACTGTTCCAAAAAATCTAATGAGTCTGACGAAATGGACACCTAAGAGGACAAAGACGGTCAAACTTTGACAGGTTTCGGCGCTAAATCTATCAATCACTTTCAATCACTTAAATCTTCATCCAGGTTTGAGTTTGTTTATCCTTCCATGTTGACTAATGCCGGCAAGATCCGTGCAGTCATGCGAAATCACGCTGAGAGTGACAATATGTTGAGTCAGACCGGCGAAGTCCATCAGCCCGGCGACACTTTAGGACCACCTGGGTAGAGCTCTGAAGGAGGTGTCACAACAGAAACTAGTGAGTCCAGATAACATGCTTGCTTTTCTCTTCCTCCATTAACTGCACAATGAGTCCTCGAAGATTTGATACATTGGGATTTTAAGCAAAACACGTAACGTTCTGGGGGTCTCAGACCTGGTCCATACCTCTAGACCTCTTACTGGGGGCCTTAGACCTGGTCCAGATCTCTAACGGGGGGCCTAAGACCTGCTCAAGACCTCTAACGGGGGGCCTAGGGCCTAGGACATGGTCCAGACCTCTAACGGGGGGCCTAGGACCTGGTCAAGACCTCTAACGGGGGGCTAAGACATAGTCCAGACCTCTACCGGGTGGCGTAGGACATGGTCAAGACCTCTAATGGGGAGCCTAGGACTTGGTCCAGACTTCAACCGGGGGCCCTTGGACCTGGTCCAAACCTCTACCGGGGGGCCTAGGACATGGTCCAGACCTGTGTGGTTCTGGGGGTCCCAGCCCTGGTCCAGACCTCTACCGGGGTCCCCAGAACTGGTCCAGTTTTATTTATTTTCTGTTCTTCCAACTGTTTGGTTATGGTTAGACAATTAGGTAAGAAGCACTGCATAGAGCAGTTTGAAATTTTGAGCTTCATACAGAAAGCTATATCTAAAAATACTCCAGACGAAAGGTATAAGCCCTTTGCCTGGATACAGTGATTTTGGAGTGCTGTTTGCATCGTTTTGCATCTGCTGATGCATTCTATATGTAGCCTGTAACCAGCACCACATGCCTTTAGCCAGGAATAATGACAGATAAATTGTTTTTTGGATGGTGCCCCAGTGTGAGTTGTGCGAGTGTGTTCTCAGTGGGTAGACACCTTGGGCTTGTTGTGAGCAGTGTCTGCACTGAGAATGGAAAACGTCAGCATTGATATGTTTAGCAAGCTTCCCCTGATCTTATTAAAGTGGTTAGCGAAGATGGAAATAAAACGGGAAAGCAAAAAAGGAAAACGGTCACGAAAAACGAAACAATTATTGCTGTGCTTAAAACATGAGTTTCTCATCTAGAGGTGGTTTAATAGAGTTAAAAAAGATAAATGTCTTTCTTCTTTTTTTTTAAACATTTCAATAAAAGCATTTTATTTGTCCTGGGTGTGAGGTCGGCCACTCGTTCGGCATTCAACACCGGTCGTATTGGCACAGACTTTGATGAGTCAGGCCAATACTGGGGGCAGACAGTACCCACACTGCTCATGACAAATAATATCATGGACGATATAACCTGTCTCAGGAGATCAAAAACGGTAAAGGCCACACCAAAGGGTTTCATGTTGGAACTGGTTTTATGCTTCACATAGACTCCACAATCCAGAATGCCTTCCTCTTACCTTCCACACAATCTAAAGTCTTAATGCATTAATCCATCTGTGTAAACATCACTGCTGTATTTACCTGTACATGTCACAGAACCATTTCAAAACTCACAGCAATTAAAATCTGTGAAGACATTTTATTTAATCTATGTGTTGAATAATATTAAATTCATCATTGAAATGATGGAACATCTTTCATTCTGTTGTTAGCTGTCATACCGACAACTTTTATGACACTTTCACCTAACCTCCATATTTTGGCTGTTATTTCTGACTTGCTTACTTAAAAAACAAGCCAGGCCAATAAGTTTTACAATGTAAAAGTTGTGATTTTCTGAGCTACACTGTTTATGTTTCGCCAGATGTAGGCTGGTAAAACTACAGACTATGATATGTATAAAAGATGGACAAACCCCTCTGACACTGGACAGTCACTGGACAGACTGCCTAGAAGCTTTGACTTTAGCCTTTTGGCTGTTGTCCTGTTGGTTTTAAGAAACCAGACCCTCCACATGTTCAAGACATTCCCCAACCACGTTCTGTCTGATTGCTCATTAGGGTGTTATTACAATGACGATCTACATAATACACGCATAAATGTGTGTGTCCACCTTCTGCATAGTAGTATGCTGCAGTGCACATAAAAATGAGAACAGGGAGAAGAATAGCAGTGAGAACTAAAAAAAACTCAAGGATAGTGTGTGTCATTATCGCTTCATCTTATCATCCATCAGTCCTCCACTTTGTTACACTTGCTTTTTGTCTCCCAGGATCTATGAGACTTTGTCCAGTGAAGACTTTTCGACTTTGTGCTCGCATTTGAACATGACGTCCATAAAGTCTGATCGTCCGGAAAAACACCAACAAGCAGCAACTTAATGCAGATGCACTGCTCTCTATCATAATCCCCAGTCTTTCTCTGCATCACAACTCCTTCAGCATGATCATAAATTAATGATAAGACACACACAGAGGTACACACAGTCACCCACTGAGTGGACATCTAACATATGGCTAATGGATTGGATTTGTGGGTGCCATCTCAGGGAGGCATGCATGATAAATGTCTATTTACTGAACACGGCAGTACTAGTGCAGCTACAAACACACACTCACACACACTTCTACTTTTACTCAATACAATTCAGAAGCACCCTTCAGCAAAATCTCATTCCTATCGATCCTATTGATTGATCACACTTCTCACACATCTTCAAATCGATGAAACTAAATAAAACAAAATGTTTCTATGATCTCATTAAAGTTATACACAAGATCCTACAAAATCCCACGTTTTATTGTCAACATACTGTCTTTTTTGCTCATTAGAATGTCTCAGAATTATTCTTCTTTTCAACTGAAAGTGATTTTTATTCCCATAAATCTGAGACAATATCTGCCAGTAAAATGGCGGAGGTGACTTTCAATAACTGCTGTTTACTTAGCTCTGATGTTGGAACTCTCATATGAGTCCCTTTGCCCTCGCGCTGCTCAAAGGAGCCTTAAATTACAGCGCAGCGTTATCGGTCATGAACTAAGAGTAGATCAGAAATATCTGTAATGGGGTTGGTTTTCACACTGCGACAGAGACTCTGCTAATGAAAAAAACGTTTCTGATTTTAAATATATGAGGTCAGATGGAAAATGAACCTTTCACAAGTGGTTTTCTTTTTAAAAAGCAAGGCAAATTCTAAAATAAGTATGATCCATGCATCCATTATCATTACCTCTTATTCCCTGAAGGGGTAAAATAAGTATAATGTTCGTTGCAAATAAAAGCGGTATGGTTAGCATGAGCTAAACAAAACGATGCCTTTAGACTTTCGGTGCCATTGAGTTAAAATCTTTACAGGTTGCAGCCTGGTGGTCCCATTGGCTACATGCTATCCAGCAACAGAGTTACAAAGCTGAGTGAAACACATTAAGATCCACACAATGATAAAGCCATCAGGCTAATACTAACTCTGCCAATGTAATTAAGTGTCTGATTAAAAGTAATACAGAAGTACTCCACTTTGAGTAACTTGCAATACCCACAAATTCAATTCCTGTGGGAAAATAGTTAAAAAATCATTTACAGAATTTTAAAAAAATGCAGCCATGTGTATTTTTTTTAGACTGCAAGCACTCAACATGCTGAGAGTAAGCCTTCCGTGTTCACTGCAGTATTTGATGATATTTAGTGGTACCCAGAAATAACAGCTTAGGAAAAAACCCCGGCTTTTATGTCCTCCTCTTGTGAGCTCCATCACCTGAAAGCCTTCCATAGATGGGTTTATTATCCCCCCCCTTCATCAAAACGGTCACAGAGCCCCCCCTGAAAACAGTCAGCGCACTCGGAGGGTTCAGAGAGGGAGTCAGTTTCCTGGAGCCTTATCGCCAGCCGCCAGAGGCTGCAGCAGAGTGCCACGGTGTGTTTGGATGGGCAACAGCTTTGGACACACAGCTCAAGGGTCCTGCAATTCCCCCGAGACTTAGAGCCTCTGAGTGGTCCTCCATAAACTATCTGGGTATGCACTTCATGTTCCACATAAGC